TTTTCCTAAAGCATAGTTCTACAGGTCTGACCCTGTAACACCCCCGCCCCCAACCACACTCCACTCAAAAAACTCCAGTGGATCCCTATTGCCTCTAGGATCAAATATGAAATCTTCCTAATCTATCGCCCCCCTCCCCAACACCTTTCTAATCTTCTTACATCTTCCACCATCTCATTTACTCTTTTATTCACAAATGACACTCCATGCCTTCAACTTCGGGCATTTTTACCGCCTACCCTCACGCCTGGAACACTCTACTTCCTCTTCTACAACAGCTATTAGAGCGTAAGCTGCCATTATTTCCATTGTGGTCTTCTTGCAAATGCAATATGAGATAAGCAAATGTCTCATGAAATATTAATTGTTGTCCTAATAGTAACTCAGTCAATAAATATTTAAGCATGTGCTATGTGCCAGGCATAGTACTGAGTGCTGGGGATACAAAAAGGCAAAAACCAATCCCTGCCCTCAAAGAGGTCACAGTCTAATGGGGCTGACAATAAGCAAACTATGGACAAACAAGCTACATACAAGTTACATGGGAAATAATTCAGAGTGGGAAGGCATCTGAATTAACAAGGACTGGGAAAGGTTTCTGATAAAAACTGCTATTTTCGTTGGGACTGGAAGGAAACCAGGAGGCAGAGATGAGGAGGGAGAGCATGCAAATTAAATCACCACATACTTTGATAGTCATGGAGGCGTATGCACTAGCAGTGCAAAAGATGTCGTTAGGGAGACGTCCCACTGGAGAAAGTGGCCTAGGCATTCATCAAGAAAAGGGATAACCAGTACAGAACTTACATGCTCCACTGGGATCCCTGTAATGTCAAGAAAATGAGAAAAAGGCCTTCAAAGCATTAGGCTGGGCTACTCCCTATCTGCCCCTGCCCACTCCCTGAAAATTTAAATGCAGGCAAGAAACACGATGAGAGAGTACCGACAGATTACAAGCTGCAATGTTGGAGGCCATACCCACATCAGTGAAGTCACAAATCCAAAATATTACTGAAAATCAGACTTTTATTTTATCAATTCAGAAGTTATTCAAATCATCTTAGTTGTTTAAAAGAAGCAGCTGAAGCTTGTTTTTAGAATGGCTAGCTTACAACCTAAGAAAACTGACTTTTCAAATAATACATTTTAGCACTAGCTCTTTTGTTACCATAGATATTTCATTAAACAAATGTCTTGGTTCTTCCTTTCATGGAAATTTGAGTAGCGCTTTGCAAATACAGAACTTTTATCTGAATGTACTTAAAGCTGCAAAGTTTTATGTAAACGATAACGTGACAATGGTACCACGTGTTCAACACAGGGGTTTGTGGCAGCTGGAGTCTGATTGCTAGGCTTATGTTATCTAACATTGAAACACATCTTAATATGATTTTCTTATGCACAAATGAGAAAAAGCAAACCATACATTTAGCATAATATGCTGTCCTAAGTTCAAAGAGCCTTCCCAAAGCTGTTGATAACAACTAAACATTTTAAAATATTGAACGGTTTCCTACATGACTGGGTTTCCTAAAGGTTGGGCAGGCACAGCACTCCTATTGGCCATACTCCTTATCCTAGTTCTATATTCAAGGTTAGGTCCATTTCAGTCACTATTGGGACTGCTCCAATTTATTGTTAATTTCTGTATTAATGAAGCTTCTAAATATGCCTAACAGGGCAGATGTCTATGCTGGGCATGGGCTGGGGAACAGATGACAAACATAGAAAAATGGTCCAGACTAGTCACTCAGAGTCTTGGTGATAGATACAGATTACCGTATCTTCATAGCAACTGAAGCAATATACTAGCAAGTGGAAAGAACAGCATCAGTGAATCCTTTAGGTCATAAAATGGTCACTTATGCTCAGGGAAAACCTTTGCAACTTTGAGAATCTGACTACTTACACACCTGAAAGAGAGTTCCCTTGAAGGAGAAAAGCTCAGTCTTCAGCACATTCATTCCTCTACATCCCCTTTTTCTTAGCAGGTTGTAAATGAAAACACAAATGATATCTTTTAAAATGCGTATATACAGCATTAGAACATTTGTACAGTAGTATGAAATTAAACCAGTCTCTCTCCATGCTTGCATTTGCTTATTATTTTTTTTCCCAAATAGAGACATTCAAATAAGTTGAAATAGCAACTTGTCAACATTAAAAAAAAAAAATTATACCCCCTCCATTAGGTCATCTCAGTAGAAATAGTAATAACCCCCCTAATGTCTTCCCTGGCCAGCCCCTTGGTTACATTAAAATTCAGCAAAATAAGCCACAGTACAAGTGTCCAGATCATCTAATTATGGAATGTTGTGTCTTCAACTGGAACCATCATTTTTGTAGAAAGATGTAATTTGCATTTTGTCCAAATGAGCTTCATCTCCAGTCAAGATGTCAGCAAATTCACCAAATTTCTTCTCTTGTCAAATTGAAGAAGAGGCATGGTGGCTCAATGACGAAAGATGTTCCACTTCTAGCTGCAGACAAAATGGCAAGACATTCAGAATGAATACTTGCATCTTGCTTTAAAATGTTAAACAGTCTTAAATAAAAGACTCAGACTATACCACACCTTTTTTTTAAATGACAAAGCAACGAAACAACACAGAACAAATATATTCCAGAAAAAGTGTATCATCTAAGTGCATAGTAAATGAAAATAGAAGGAAAAAAGATTTTCTCTGCTATTACCAAAGGCAAACATTTTTTTTTTCCTTTTACATATACCATATGTAAAAATAAGTTTTAGAGACTAATTTCCTACTGAGGAACCAAACAAATTAATACTTTAACCAGGCAAGAAAAAAAATCCCTAAAAATGCTGCCTATCCCCAAGAGCTCATTTATTTTTTAAGACTGGAGTTGTGAAATAAATCTTAAATGGCTGAATATGGCAATCATGAAATTATCGCTGAGGCATTTTTTTCAAATTTAAAAAAATATACACATATATACGTACATATATATATATATATATGTATGTATATGTATATGGAATTAAGAGACATCAAACAAATCTTTACATATCTCAGGATTTTACAGCCTTAATGCCCAGAACTCTACATTTACACATGAGCCCACTGGCAGGATTTTCAGACAGCAGGTTTTTGCTGTTGTTGTTTTTTACATTTATGCTGACATGGTATAAATGCATAAGTTATCTGTTCAATGTACTACCAGCCATGAGAATTGGGGGCTTCTTTGATCCCTCTTTCTGATGGGTCACAGATAAAGGAAGAGAGGGAGATTAAGAGCACTCATACAGGCAGCCTTGAGGGGCTGGGGGCAGTAATCATGTGAACACCACACAGAGAGAAGCTAAGAGCTCATATCAATCCAATCATAGCCATTTCACAAGAATGGTGAAATCTCCTTTGTTCAAAAGCCTTTCAACATTTCTGTTCTAATTTTCTAAAAGACCATAGCAAATCAGGATAGCTGCTTAGTCAATTGCAACATGATCTGCCTGAATCAAATCCTGACAGGTGCAGTACTAGGTACTGAGATACAGCAAGACCTATTCCTCTGTGTGTGCGTGTGTGTGTGTGTGTGTGTGTGTGTGTGTGTGTGTGTGTGTGTAGATAGACAGAAAGACAGACAGATATAAACAGATAGATAGATAAATAGATAGATATTAAAAGCAAGTATGCCTTTTCCATTGAGGCAGGAAAAAAAAGTATGCCAAAAGAAAGGAAAGAGTAACAACATTAAATCTAAAATGATCCGCAAAGGAAGATGATCAATGTCCCTAAAACAATCTATTGAAAATTACTGTGATGCTGATCCTGTTATAAATTACTAAGCATGTTTTTTTCTTACAGAAAATTAATTTTTAAATTAATATTTTTTTAAAAGTTTACATTTCAAATTTTAAAAAAAGTTTTCAGAGATTACATTTACCAAGCAACTTACATAGAGATTCAGTTGTATGATGTTTAGTAAATTTCCGTGGCAAATATGCTGTTTTTCTTCTGTATTCCAGGGACACTGTAGAGTTGATAAAATTCTAAAAGGTAACCTAGCAGTTGACAAGTCCTTTTATTAAATCTTCATCTAAGATGACGTTTTTTATTTTTTTTTCTTCTTTTTTTTTGGGGGGGTAGTCAATGGGGTTAAGTGACTTGCCCAAGGTCACACAGCTAATAAGTGTTATGTGTCTGAGGCTGGATTTGAGCTCAGGTCCTCCTGAATCCAACGCCCGTTGCTCTATCCACTGCGCCACCTAGCTGCCCCTAAGATGATGTTTTTTCTAGCTTGGTAAATGGACAGTCTTTCATTCTTAAAAAAAAAAAAAAATCACAGCTTCCCTAGCTGCTGACTTGCACATATAACTTGGCAAGTTTAAGAAGGGTTTACAACTTCCAAACTTCCAGGAGGGGGAAAAAAACGTGAGTGTGCCCAATTGTGGGTGGTTACAAATGTTCCAAATGGGGTTAAAGACTGTTCACGCAGCTCTTCTGAATGAGATCTCAAAGCAGTATATTCAAAAATGACCTGTGCCAACTGTTTTAGTAAACTTTCACACTTGAAAAAAATGCAAAAAAGACTCCAAAAAACTGGACCCTACATCACACCCTATCAAGATACCCAGAGCTAGTTAATACTAAAATTAAGTTGTAAAAGATTGCCCTAACCATTGGCAAATGTCCACAATGTTATGGTATTTCTAGAACTGGTGAGTAATAACTTGGGATCTTCTTTGCTTTATCAGTGCCAAGCTTAGAAATCTGATGAAGTTTGGGCCTGCAAGAGCTTGCCTAACACTCTAGTTTATATTGAAATTAAGTTCTTTTTTGTTTTCTGAAATTAAGTTCTTTTTTTTGCTTTCTGAAATTCAGGTGGGTGGGGGTTTTTTCTGTATTTTGAATTAAACTTCTTAACAATCAATTGTTGCCCCAACAATTTGTAAAAGCCCTTATAAAATACCATTTTTTGAAATAAAATTCATATAAAAACTTTTTTTTTAAATACAACAACACTCCATCTGCTATTCCTGCTTAGAAATCCATTGGGTAGCGACCCTGATGGTCACCAGCAGCACCTGCCTGCTGTGACTTGTGCTTCAGGATGCTCCAGTCAAAGGTACAATCACCCTGCTGGTGTGGTTTGGGCAGGGATTTCAAAAGGAGGTTGAATAGTTGCCTCAGGTATGAATAATCTGGAGTTTCTTGAAAGCCCAGAGAGCGGCAGTATTTGAGGTATGTGGCAAATTCTGGTGGAAAGCCCTTACATAGCATTTCAATAGGTATGGCAATCTTTGTGCTACTAATCTTTCTGTATTTCTCTACCTTATTTTGCCCTCTTATTCCCTGCCAGGGAAGTTTTGACCTGTTGAAATACATCAGCACATAGCCAAGTGATTCCAGGTCATCTCTGCGGCTTTGCTCTATACCCACATGGGCATTAATGCTGGCATACCTCGCGGTGCCAATTAGATGTCTATCATCCCGGTATGGGATATGCTCTTTGGTTTCACTGTTGCGATACTTTCTGGCTAAACCAAAATCAACGAGGAACAGCTTGTTCCGGTGACGGCCTGTGCCCATCAGGAAGTTATCAGGTTTGATATCCCTGTGTATGAAATTCTTACTATGCAGATACTCAAGTCTAGTAAGCATCTGGTCAGCTAACATCAAGACTGTCTTCAAAGTGAACTTACGAGAGCAGTAATTAAAGAGGTCTTCTAAGCTGGGCCCCAGCAAATCCATAACAAGAGCATTGTAACCCTTTTCTTGACCAAACCAGAACGCGTGGGCGAAGCCCACCCCACCCTGGAGCTCGCCATAGAGCTTGTTTTCATACAACAACTGCGGGTACTTGGCCATCTGGGATTCAAGCTTCACAGCTACTTTCTGGCCAGTTGCCAGATTGGTAGCCAGATAAATGTTCCCGAAAGCCCCAGACCCAATCTTTTTTATCAGCTTATATCTCTCTCCCACAATAAACTCATCACTGAGGGAACCGCTAGCGGCCATGGCAAAAATCACCTCAGCAAATGCAGGGCCTGAACTTTAAAGGGCACGAACTGAGTTGGCACAGGTCAGGGCTACTGGAATCCAGCAGATACAAACTTTTTTTTTGAGGTAGTTGGAAGAAAAAGGAGGGCACAGCGAGAATCGACCGAGATCCGAGTGCTGCAGAACACCACCCGAACCGCCCGGAGTGCGGAAGCTCTGCCTCACCCAGCCCACAGCGTTCACTTAACCATGTCTGCCGCGCTACGTGCTGATGTCACGCTGCGAGGCATCCACTCAGAGCTCCAGAAGCTTACGGATCAGAGCCCGCCAAAACTCTAGCTCCACCCACCGTGGCCATCTTGTGCCTGCTCAATGCCCATGTGACCAGAGCGTAGGAAGTCGCCTCCCCAGACGCGCCCTGCCCGACTGGGTTTGAGGCCTGCCACACAGAAGAAGAGCAGAGGAGGCTTTAAAACTAGATCGGTAACAAGAGGAGCTGGGGGGGATGGGGGAAATGGCAGGCAAATAGGGTTGGGGGGAGAATAGGGCACAGGGATACAAAACGCTTACTAAACTCATCTTGCATCCCACCACTCCTCCAAGCGGAAGAAACATTGAATAGGTAGAGCAAAAGTGATTAGCAGAGAATAGGAAAGGAAGGTGGGTATATTTATCTAAGATAAATGAGGCAATCCAGATTTTGTACAGAATGAGGATCTGAGGTACATTTCTCACGTTACTTGATTTTTACCCCAGAAAAACTCTGAGGAAGGGATCAATGTCGTCATGTTCATTTTATGAATAAGATAACAGGAACACTAAGGCATATATTCCATGTGTCATCCCATTTTTACATCACAACACTCTCATGTGAGCAAGGGGTCATTGTAGTTACCTAAGTTTTACAGGAGAAGACACTGAGGCCCTCTGATATCTGTTACATGTTAACACATTTTTACCAGAGAAATGCTCCCAGGAAAGGACCAGTGTTGTCATATCTATTTTATGAAGTAGAAAAATGAAGCTGTGAGGGGAATTTCCTTTTTTTACCTCATTAAAATACTCGCTGTTTTTAAGTCAGTTTTACTGATGAGGAAGATAAAGTTCTGAGAGACTTTTCTCACAATTCCTCATTGTTACCTCACAAAAAATCTCTGAGGGAAAGGCTCACTGGGTCATCTTCTCTTGAAGAAAGAAGAAACAGATTCCTCCCAATATTGCCACATTTTTACCTCACAAAAATCTCATGAGGAAGGGTTCATTATTTTCCTGTCCAATTTTCAAAAGAGGAAAACTGAAGTTCTAAGGTGATTTTTATATTACCTCATTTTTAGCACACAAAAGCACTCTGAGAAAAGGCTTGGAGGTGGTTGTCTCTGTTTCTAGAAAGAATGTACTGAAGAGCTCAGACATTTTACATTTTTTTTACCTCAGTGGGTACCTCAAAAAAATCCTCTGGAAAAGGGTGGCTGTTGCCATGTCCATTTTACAAAAGAGGAAACTGAAGCACTTGATGTACCATTCAAAGATTACTTTATTTTTCCCTCCCAAAAACTATCTAAAAAAGATCTGTTTTCAAGTCAGTTCACAAAAACACTGTGAAGTAGGTTGTTAGTTCCATTTTCAGAAAAACCATACTGAAGCTCTCAGGCACTTCACATTTTTTACACCAATGTGACCTCATAAAAATTCTCTGGGGGAAGGGCCCTTGTTGCCAATGTCCACTTACAAAAGAGGATAAAGCAGCACTTGAGGTACTTTTCATAGATTTCCCCATTTTTACCTCACAAAAATGATCTGAGGAGGGCTTATTGTTCTTCTGCCTGCTTTAAAGTGGAGAAAAATAAACTTCTTTCATATCTTACCTTATTTTTACCTTAGCACTTTTAACCTTCTTATGTGACCACAGCTTTGATGTCAGTTTTACAAAAGAAGAAAAAGTTCTGAGGTATTTTTCACATATTACCTCACTGTTCCCTCACAAATCACCTCTGAGAGTAGCCACTGGGTCATTTTGCTTTTAATAAAGAAGAAAACAATACTCTGAGGTACTTTGGAAATATCATCTCATTTTAAAATCCTTTTAGGAAGGGTCCATTTTTTTCAATAGAGGAAACTAAAGTTTTTTTCGTTTATTTCCTTATCATTCTTGTCAGGATGTGCCATTATCGTCATGTCCGTGTTTCTGAAAAGAAAAATAGATTCATAAGGTACTGTTCAAATATTTTGTCCTTTTTACTTCACAAAAAAACTCTGTGAGGAAGTGGCCACTGTTGTCATCTATATTTTTTGGAAAAATTGAAATGAAATTCTGGAGTTCTTTCCATTTTTTTACCTCAGAAAATGATCCTGTGAGAAATCAGCCATTATTGTCCTGGCATTTTTCATATATTATCTCATTTATACCACACACAAACTGTCTGAGGAAGGGTCCATTGTTGTCATCTCCATTTTAGAAACCTGGAATATTAAGCACTGCAAAATTCCTATGACTCTTTCCACATCCATTTAACAGAAGAAGAAATTAAAGTTCTATGGTACTATTCATAAATTAACTCATTTGTCCTTTACAAAAACTCTCTAAGGACATTGTTCTTCTATTTTACAATTTAGAAAAATGAAACTCTTCAGTTATTTTCACAAATTGCCTCATTTTTACCTCACAGCAATCCTATTATGGAACTGTCTATGTTGTCATGTCTCTTTTCTAGAAGAATAAACAAAGTTTGAATTACTTGCCGTATATCACCCCATGTTTATCTTGAAACAATCATGGGAGGGAGGGGCCATTATTTTTCATGTCCATTTTACAGAAGTGGAAACTAAAGTTCTGAAGTATACTTCATAGATTACTTCATTGGTTCTTCACCAAAACTCTTCAGGCAAGAGACCATTGTAGCCACTTCCTTTTTAAGAAAGAAAAAACTGCTGCTCTGAGGTAATTTCTACAAATTACCTCATTTTTACCTCACAATAATCCTATGAGGGAGGCCATTGTTGTCATGTCCATTTTATGAAAGAGGAAACTGAGGCTCATATCTTACCTCATTTTTACCTCAAACTTTCTGGGTGTTGGTGTTCTTTTGACCATTTTAGAACTGAGGAACATAAAATTCTTTAGTATTTTCATATACAGTATTACATCATTTTTACCTCACTGCAACACTCTAAGGAAGAGGTCATTGCTGTCATCTATATTGTAGGAAAGAATAAACTGACTCTGAGGTGCTTTCTCTTTGGCATCAGTTTTACCTCATAATAGTCTACTTCTGAAGGTGCCCTTTTTGTAATTTTCATCTTTTAAAAACAGAAACTAAAGTTATGAGGTACTATTCATATATTAGCTCATTTGTCCTTCACAATCTGAGGAAGGTAATTTCCTTTTTAAGAAAGAGGGAATTGATGTGCTGAATTATGTCCCACATATTTATTGCCTCATTTTTACATCACAATAATACTGTGAGGAAGGGGCTACTAATGTCATATAATTTTCAAAGGAGAATATTGATATACCAAGGTACTTTTCATGTATTACTTCACTTGTGGTTCACAAACTATCGGAAAAAAGGGGCTCTGGATAATTTTTTTTTTAGAAAGACGTAACAGATAATTTCCATATATTACGTTATTTTTCCCTCCCAAAAACTCTCTGAAAAAGGGGCCATTGTTGTTATGTCCTTTTTACAAAAGAGCAAGCTGAAACTTTGATGTAGTTGTCATACATCGCCTCATTTTACCTTACAAAATTCATGTTAGAAAAAGGCCACTGTTCTCTTGTACATTTTATAAAAGAGGAAACTGAAGCTCTAGGTACTTTTCATATATTACTTCAATTTTACCTCACAACTATCCTATGAGGAAGGGACTGTTGTCCTGTCTATTTTACAAAAGTGGGAACTAAGGCACTGATGAACTTTTCACACATCTTATTTTTATGACAGAAATATTCTCTAAGGAAGAGGTTTTGTTCTGTCTAGTTTCCAAATGAGGAAAATAAAGCTATGCAGTATTTTCATCTATTATCTCATTTTTGTTGTTAGTCAGTCGTGTTCAACTCTTCATGACCCCATTCGGGATTTTCTTTTTCTTTTCTTTTTTTCTATTCTGTTTTTTTGGAGGGGAGGGGTAGGCAATTGGGTTAAGTGACTTGCCCAAGGTCACACAGCTAGTTAAGTGTTATGTGTCTGAGGCTGGATTTGAATTCAGGTCCTCCTGAATCCAGGGCCAGTGCCCTATCCACTGTGCCACTTAGCAGCCCCAATTTCAGATTTTCTTAGCTAAGATACTGGAGTGGTTTGCCATTTCCTTCTCCACCTCATTTTACGTAACAGGAAATGAAGGCAAATAGGGTTGTGACTTGCCCAAGGTCACACACAGCTAGTAAGACTGAGATTTGAACTGAGACTGGATTTGAACTCAGGTCTTCCTAACTCCAGGCCCAGAGCTCTATCAACTACACCACCTAGCTGGTCCATTTTTTCCTCACAACAATCCTGTCCACCTGGACCCTGAACAGGACCTTGACAATGCCATGCCTTGGGCCTGCCTGATAGAAGGACCATTTTTCCTTTTCCAAGTCAAAACTTCCCTGTCCCCCTGTGTCCCATTCCCTTTGTGCTCCGTCTAGCTTATCCAATAACTTAGTCCATGCTGTGGTATATTTTCATCACCAATTCCAACAGAGTCACATTTTAACAGAAGCCTTCAAGACACGTGGTGAGTAATCCAAAGAAACAACTCTAATGGTAAAAACTTTGGATTTTCAGACAAAGCCAGTGGACTAAATATTTCAAGGGCAAAAACCCTTGGGAAATTCCTCAAGTCACATCACATAGTTGGCTCTCTCTGACATTAATGTATGTGATTGGGCCCTAAAGCCATTTCCTTATCCTCAAGTATGATGCCCTTTTGATAGTGTTTTAAAGGTGTGCAAAATACTTTTTATATATTACCTATTGAGAGTTACCAGACCTATAAAGTTGATACCAGTGGTATTACTCCCATTTTACAAATGGGGAAACAGGCTCACAGGTGCTAAGGGGCGTATCCCTGGATGCAATGCACAGCATGACAGGCAGGATTCAAACCCACATCTCTCACGACTTGAAGTCCAACGCTCATTCCACTACCCTATGAGTAGAAACTCTGTTTTGCCTTTCCTTGTAGTGCACAGTGCATTGCCAGACACATAGTAGGTGCTTAATAAAAACTTGTTAACTA